CTTCTGACATTCGTTCTGGCATATCTTCTGACAATATTTCTGAAAATGTCTTCTGACATTTCTTCTGGCATATCTTCTGACAATACTTCTGAAAATAAGTTCTGACATTCGTGCTGGCATATCTTCTGACAATATTTCTGAAAATATCTTTTGACATTCGTTCTGGCATATCTTCCGACTATATTTCTGAAAATATCTTCTGACATTCGTTCTGGCATACCTTCTGACAATATTTCTGAAAATATCTTCTGACATTCGTTCTGGCATATCTTCTGACATATTTCTGAAAATATCTTCTGACATTCGTTCTGGCATATCTTCTGACTATATTTCTGAAAATATCTTCTGACATTCGTTCTGGCATATCTTCTGACTATATTTCTGAAAATATCTTCTGACAAATTTTCTGAAAATATCTTCTGACATTCGTTCTGGCATATCTTCTGACAATATTTCAGAAAATATCTTCTGACATTCGTTCTGGCATATCTTCTGACAATATTTCTGAAAATATCTTCTGACATTCGTTCTGGCATATCTTCTGACAATATTTCTGAAAATATCTTCTGACATTCGTTCTGGCATATCTTCTGACAATATGTCTGAAAATATCTTCTGACATTCGTTCTGGCATATCTTCTGACAATATTTCTGAAAAATATCATCTGACACTCGGTCTGGCATATCTTCTGACAATATTTCTGGATATTTATGGCATATCTTTCGACGTTATTTCTGACAGTCCTTCTGAAAATATTACTGACTCTCGTTCTGTCACATCTTCTGACATTGTTTCTGAAATTATCTTCTGACATTCGTTCTGGCATATCTTCTGACAATATTTCTGAAGTGTTTTTTGGGATATCATATCTTTGACATTATTTCGGACATTCCTTCTGAAATTCTTACTGACTTTCGTTCTGGCAAATCTTCTGACATTCATTCTGGCATTCTATCTGGCATATCTTCTGACATTTTTTCTGGCACGCGCTCGGTCGGTAGAAAACTGATCTGAGCTGCGCGAGGAGCTGACCGACTGTGTGTCCGCTAGCCTTCGGTTGATTGCCGTCGGCTGCCCAAGGAAGTCCATAGACTGGTCCCACATCACTTGCAGGACGCGTGCGTAGCCGTCCTCCGGAGTATGCATGGCGCGAGCAACCATGAGAGTCAACAGTTGACGCTCCTTTTGCGGTGGACAAGCATTGTAGAAACCCATGTCACTTTCTCCTTCAGGTGTGGCTCGGAGTGGCTTTGCCTCCATAGACTCCTTTGCCAAAGCTGTCAGGCACCCCTCTTGCCGTAAACTGCCCACTTGCAAGTATTGCTCCAGAACAGAACGGGCGCAATCTTTGGTAGACCGCAGGCTCGGGCGTCTGCTGGGGAATGGATGAGCGTGTCATCCTCCTTCGCCTTCCAATCCTTCCAGCTTGGCCAGCTTTTGCATGGCCTTCACCAGCAATGAAACTTCTGGCTGATTCTAGCCATGATTTCTAAAAACAGGTGACACTTACAAAACTAGTTTCAAGACTGGAGGCCATTGATGGTGCTGGGTTTCTGCTTCGCTTGGGCAGTGTTGCAGGTGATGGAGATTTCTCTGGAGATGCAGACCTTGTGGGAGAAACAGGGTTGTCAATGACAAGTATAAGGACTGTGGGATTTGTCACACCTTCACGTCGTCCAAAGTCATAGATCTCCTTCGCCCTTGCTCGGAACCACGCTCCCACACGCTCAGATCGTTCACGAGTCCGGTCCATCCATCATAGGTAGGATATGAATCATCATCATCAAGCTGATCCGCTGAGTACATGGCTTCAGCTACATCCAGCAAGTAATCTGGAGTATCTGGGTCCACTTGTCTACTGGATGTCATGCGATCCTTGTCAATTGAAGCTCAGGGGAAATTCCCCATCTCCCTGTAGACCAAAGATGTGGACATTGGACCAAACTGCCTTGACGTCAAAGCGGACCGACACCTTCCCGGCACAGGCTTCAGCAAAAGGACTGGATGCGCCGGAAGATGTTTGTTCATTTGGTCACCGTGAGCAACATTGAATGGAGACCCACGTTGACCAGCTGGCCTAAAACCAAGTTTCCCAGTGGTGTGTCCGCTTTGAACACCTCGCGTTTCTTTTAGACGTGGGACTTTAAGAAGTGCCCCCGCGGTGTGTCTGCTTCGAACATTTCGGGCACGCCGCCTTGCAATATGCTGCCCAGCGACTGCAAAAATCAAAAGGCACAAGATATTCAGCAGATGTCCATGGATATCTTGAGGAAACCATACATATCAATATCGATATCTCATCAATATCTTGATGAGAAAACTACAGATATGCCTATCGATATCGACACTCTCATCGACATCACCTCGATATCCAAAAAGATATCTTACAGATATCTCAATAGATATCTCAAAGATAGTTCAGAGATAGGCGGTGGAGACCGCTGCGCTGTTCCAACGAGGACGGTCCGGAGCAACATCGCATGAGATGCGGCCACACCGAATGAGGAAAAATGCGGCCAGCTTCAATCGGCGCGTGTGCTCAGCAGGTCAGAGAATGCCTGGCCAAGTGGGAAAGACTGCAGGATTCGCAGCCAAACCCAGGGTCGTGGCACACCTGACGCTTCTCATACCGTGCAGCACACCTGGTGTCTCAAGATCTAGCAAAAGCAAGCCCAAAACGGGCTTATGTCATATAGCCAGCACCGAGAAATGTTATTTTACTTTGAGTGATCCCCACCATGACATGTCACTTATTTGTTTTCACGCGTGGTGAGAAGCATGTTGCCATGGTCGTGGGCCTTGTGGTTTTGGATTTTGCTTGTGGGTCCTCGGGAATTGTTTCTTTAGAGCGTCGCCAGGATCTCCGGTTGGCATCCAAAGTGCTACCCTGTCGCCAGGGTCTCCAGTTGGTTGTGCGTTTGTGGCTGTGTTTCTGACTGTGTTTGTGATTGTGTGTGTTGTGGTTGTGTTTGTGTGTTTGTGGTTGTGTTTGTGTTTTTTGTTGTGGTTGTGATTGTGGTTTGTCTGTTTGTCGTTGTGGTTGTGTGTTGTGAATTGTGTGTTTGTCATGTTGTCTGGTTGTGTGTTGTGTGTTGAGGTCCGGTAGTGTCCAGTGTGATCTGGCACCTGCGGTTGAGGTCCGGCGGGGAACACTGCCAAGCGGAACTCGCGGTTGAGGTCCGGTGGGGAACACTGCCATCCGGAGCTGGTGGTTGAGGACGAGGCGGAGACGGACGAGGCGGAGGCGGAGGCGGAGGAAAGGAGCTGACATAAAATCTAACAACTAACAACCCTCACCTGACAGGTCGGGAAAAATCTTGTCAAGCTTAACCTCTTTTGTCAAGCTTAACATCTTCAAAGTCTTCATGTCCAATGACCACAACCCAATTGCAAAAACCTTATATAAATAAAAAAACAATAAGTTACTTATCTCCACTAATAAGTTACTTATAACCTACTTATTTCCAAAAAGGATCTTAATATTTTATCTCTATCTTAAATATAAATATAGGTTATAAGTAGGCTTGAAGTAGGGTAAGTATAAATAACTATATATTCGTAAGTAGAATAAATAGAAGTGGACCTGAAGGTAGAGTGGTGCAGTTGGGAAAAAACATCGGTCTATTACCCGCCACCCTGGGTTCAACTCCCCTGGTCGCTCCATAGCTCCACCGGTGGCGGCCCAAGTCCCAGCATGTCCTACCCTGCTGGTGGCAAGCAGCTGGTGGTGGCGGCTGCAAAACGCCAAGATGGAACTTGTGCTTGCTTGCTGTGGTGGTGGACCGCTTCTACATACATCTCTAGACAAGTTTATACTTTGGTTAATCTGACGTCGGTGACGTCGTTCTAGTTTGCCTAAATAATCCTAGATATACTATTAAAATTTGCTCATCCCCAACTCGTTTGCACTAGCAGGGCCTAGGGCCTATAGTTCATTCCCCAAGGACGGCCTCGGCCTTGGACCGGTCACAAGTTGCGGCATCCGTGCGGAATCCGTTGCGGCGCTGAAGAAGAAACGTACGAAGAAACGACACCTCACCAGGAGATCAACTCATTTCCTGAACTTCCTTGAAGGTCCAAGTAGTTACCTGAAGTTCTTGAGTCGAGAAACAACACCCACAATGTTGTTGGAGTTGAATTTCAGACAAGGTTTCTGGAGCTTCGAGTGGGAAATGTGTGCTTTTCAAACATTTGTTGTGGGCTTCAACAGTTCCCGAGTTGTTGTTTCTCATCCATCCATCCATCAGCTACCTCATCCATCAGCCTAGTTCATCCATCCCCTCTCTTTTCTGCTTAGTTTGTCCTGAACTCCCCTTTCTCTGCCCGCTCTGCCCAAGCATCCAGCTGTCCCAATTGTCCCTCGCTTTGTCGTGGGTCGGCGTCCTCAGAAACGGCTCAGTGTGGGGGTGGTGCCAGGGGGGTCAATGGGGCTATGGCAGTCCCATGGAGTGTAATTATGGGAATAGGCTTTCAATGGCTTCATCCCGAAGAAACAACTGTTTTAGGAAGCATGACACCACCATGTAGCCACCAGGCATGATACGGCGTGGCGCTCCGCCGGCGTGTTTTGATACAGCGTCGTCGACGGGTCGTTTTGAGACCGATAACGTGTGTCGTTTTGAGAAACCATCAGGTAGAATCTGCAGGTTATTTCTGTGAAAGGTGATGCCACAAGAGGTAGTCTGGAAGTGACTATGCTCAGTGGTATGGGTGGGCAGAGGTTCACGAACCGCAATTTCAACCCACCCCGGGCCTGTTTTGTGATTAAAAAAACATGAAAGACCTCAGGGTGCTTGATGAATTGAAGAGTCTCATGACTTCCTGAAGGAAGCCTGAAGCCTTTGCGGCGCCCGACTTCCTGGGCCGTGCCTTTCTCCCTACACGACGACGTGCTAAGGTGGCGGCGGGCGAGCGCGGTTGAAATGCCAATCCTCTTGCCACGTGTCACGCGTCTCCCACGACCTCAGACCATCCACAGACAGGCTGGCATGACCCTCCCTGATAATGGGTCCAGTTTGTGATAGATTCAATAATGGGTGCATGACTCACATTTTTTTTTATCTGAACCCCCTAGGGTTCAAGATCACTGGATCCATCTGGATCCCTAGATTATACAGTAAACATCGTTCATATGGTAAGGGGCCAGAAAGCCTCATTGAACAAAAAGGCAAATACAAGTCAACAAACATGTCAAACGGACAAGTCAAATGGAAAAGTCCAAAAAAATAAATAAGTCGTAACAAAAAGTCAAACACAAGTGAAATAAGTCCAAAAAAATATGTCAACAAAAACATGTGAACAAAGTCAACAAAAGTCAAAACAACGTCAACATTGGAAAACAACTCAAAAACATAGTAAAACACAATATCAAAAGAGTCAAAAACAATGTCAAAATTAGACAACAACTCCAAAAAGCCAAAGACAAAAGTACACAAAACAGTCGGATCTGGGCCAATTGAATTCTTGTTACTTTCTAAAACTTTCTGATTTGACTCTTTTTGACTTTGGCTTTTGGCACCGACCACTATGTTGACATTCTGTTGACTTCTTTCTTAAAACATTCAACACAGGCTCTCTCCAATGACAGAATTTGAAAACCCTAGATCTTCCAACCTGTGTTTCATGTAGACACCCTCTTTTCATCTCTCACAGCCAAGCTTATGGGGGCAGAAATTGGTTGCATGATTGAAAGATCTGGGTATGCCCAGATTGACCCCTTTTCAACCACCCAAAAGGGGGTATGTGAATATGCCATCAAGGACCCGAGTCCACACATCGTGCCACATCGTGATGGACCCCGAGATGGACCGAACTGTCCATCTGCTCATCATCTGCTCATCATCTTGTAGGACAATTTGAAAGGGCTGTGATGGGGTGTGGGACCTCCTTGGCCCTTGGCTGGGTAGATTGGAATCTATTCCTTCTTCCGGGTGGTCGGGTTTTCTGGGGAGGTCCCTGTTTTCAGACACACCCAAATGAATCTCCCACTTGGATTGGCCGTCCAGGAAGCAGTAGAAAAGGAAAAGACTGTTTTCCTGCCCGGACCAGGCCTATGTGACCTTTTGAGATCCAATGAGGTCACTGTTTGGGCCTGCAAAAGGCCACTGGATGGCACTAAAAAGCAGGTCACTTGGAAGCTCCTGGCCCATGCCATGGATTTCGCTCCTTTTTGTGCTCCATTCTAGCACAGCTCCTAGAGAAAATAACATCACCCTCAAAGCCACCTAATTATACTCGCGATCGTCGAAGACTTCAACCTCTGGTTAAATCATCAAATACACCACACCCTGTTGAACACATGGACCCAGCCACGCGCGCCGCGGATCACAACGGAAGTCCAAGACCTAGTAGGTCGAAAAATGAGACAGGTTTGAGGTGCTTCAGGTAATCAGAAACAAAATAGAACTGCCAAAGATGATGGAACATATTTATTATATGAACATACTATGCTTCACACTCCACTCAACTCTTCGACACAGAAAGCGAGGCAAAAGAAAACAACACCTCTGTTGTACTCAAAAACCCATCCATCGGCCCCCGATTTCCAACAAGCCTTCCGCTCAGCGACTGCGGCTTCCATCGATCTCCGCGCTCGTCTCTGGCGCGTCGTTGCTCACCGCCCCACGCTCCCTCGCGCGATGCCTCAGCGCCGGCCGAGCGGTGTTCGCAAGGAGACACAAGCGACTTGGCATCGGCACCAGCTGGGTGTAGGCAAAGACTCAACGAAACTATTACACTTTATATTGCGGATTTGGAATGGCGCGACGCTTCATATTTCCTTGAGGGGTGGTAGCTATGTCTTTCATCCCTGAAGGCTTGAGCATAGGAAAACACAGGATAGCAGTCAGGATAGCATAGGATAGCCATATGTCATCATATGTCCAATCTATGGGTCCCACGGCAGGTCCAGTGTCTGTGAGAATTTTATCTCAGAGAATCGGTTTTGAGGGAAAATCTACAGGAAACCCATCGTTTTGAAGGTGAAAACCATGGTTTTCCCTCAAACCATTGAATATCAATCTGGATATCAATGTTGGTCACTTTGAAGAACCTGGTCTCCCGGCCGGAGACCGTCCGAAAACAGGAAGAAGCTGAAAGATCATGGACCTTGATGACTTTTGTATGCGAATTCCGATTCGATATGATATGTTTCGACCTGCTCAAGTATAGGCATGGGGATGATGTGGTAAAGCCTCTGACTCAGGTTCTTCTCTTAACAGCCTCGGAAGATGGAGAGCCCCGGCTCAAGTTCCTTAGATCTCCTCAATTCCCTCCTGACCACCAGCTATAGCAAACCAGCTGCTGTGTGATTCTGTGAAGGCGTGTCCCACCAGGACTTCGCGGCTTCTTCCCGCACTGCGGGTGCATTCCACTCGTCCCACTGCCTGCCTTGGCGAAGCGAGCAGTTGTGACCTAAAAACAGGATGGCTGCCTTGGTCTTAAAAAGCAAACAGCTGATTCTGACCCTCTCAGTTTCCCTGGAAAATATGTGGGTGTGTATTTTTATATTAGGGAGACCAACTGGCCTAAGGGTTTTGGTCTATTTCCTTTCTTCCAGGGGGTCGGACTGGGAGATCTCACTATCTTAGTTTTAAAATAGGTCAACCTTTTTCCACCTTTTTGCTATTTAGTGGGGATGAAACCAATCCCCCGAAAAATATAAAGGTTATCCACGGACTTGGTAGAGATTGTAAAAAGGGCCGTTTTGGGGGCTCATGTCATAATGGTGGTTTTGGGATGATTTGGGTAAACCCATCCTGATGGCTACTGGAAGGGAACTACATGACTGCACAGGTGGGATCATGTGGGTAACTTTTAGGATACCCAAACACTCCATGTACGGCATATTTACATACCTTGGGGTGGTTTAAGGGGTCAATGTAGGTAAATATGCCAGTCCCATGGAGTGTCTGGGATAGCTTGGGCTCCGGGTTTGGGACGGAGGAAGGAGGAAGAAGGAACGATCCCGGAGCGTTTCAAGGGCACTCCTTTCGGACCAGCAAGGTTTCTGTTGCCCTCTGCCCGGTTGGTGATGGCATAGGTCTTACATATTCTCACCATCCTGCAACTGAAGCTGTGAGAATGGGGTACCACACTCATCTGCAGGTCAGTTGCTGCGACCATCATCCCGTGATGAGTAGTTCTGCTGCTGTGCATGCCAGTCGCGTTCATCATTTCGACCATGGTGTTCATTCCAATCACTTTTATCATCAGCCTGATAGAAGAGCAGGCGTAGGATAGGCAGCACACGAATCTGACTTGTATAACTTAGGTTCCCTGTTCAACATCTTTGACATTTCTTTAACGTTTCTTTAACCATGAGTTGGAAACCGTCTTACATACTGTGCAGACCAAATCAAACCATGATTGATGATGCTCTAAATCACCCCTGCGTGACATATTTATCCTCGATCCTTCTTTGTCTGGTGCTTTCCGACGGTTTGAGATTGGTCCAGAGTCCTTCAATCAAGGAGACCGTGGACAAAGGATCAATGGCTCCGGAAAAAAGACAATGGTCCTCCACCATATCAATAAAATTCCAAACATGGATCTGAAGATGCCATCACCATGTGTTCTGTCGGGTCACTGCGTTGGCAACAGCTCACCAATACGATCCTGACCCGCACCAACACTCCGTGCGAAGTTTTGTGCAGGTGCGCCTGCCATCGGTTTCCGTGCCAGCTGCCTCCTTGGACATGCATTATCAGGGCGTGCAAGCGGTATAAGGCAAGTGCCAAATTCCTCTGCGTGTTTCACGGTTCACACCCTAGCTCATCCCCTTCACTGGCCAGTGACAAATGTCTCTGCGGAAGAGCTTGTGCGGGAGTGCGTACCCCAAGGGATCCATCGAAACCTGTTGTTTTCGTCTCAGTTCCATGTCGCCTCAAAAACAGATCGAACGTCGATTTCGTGTAGGACTCCACGATTTCGTGTGGGGCATCGATTTCGTGTGGAACTTCGTTGTTCACATGTTTTCACTCAGATCGGTCGTCAGATGACATGGGTCTTCCCTGAACTCCGGGAGCGGATCCATGCGGACCTGGGAGGGATTCCAGTCGCCTGGACCATTGTGGAATAGTGATATCAGGGTCAAGGGGAGAAACTGATGCAACTACCCAAACACTCCATGGGACTGCCATAGGACTGCCGCCCCATTGACTCCCCTAACACCACCCCGGCAAATATGGCATATACATGGAGTGTCTGGGAATGATTGGGAATGTACAAAATGGCCAACTAACTACAAGGCATCGTGAGTCTTGAGTGCTCCAGCCTCGTGGAGGCAAGAAGACAGGGGCATGCCAGGAGAGGGGCTAGGACCCCAACAGCCATGTTCCTCTACAAACAGGTGACGTAACAGGTGGTATAGTCAACTTCCAAGCTTGCTGCAGGCAGGGGAAAAAAACATCTCTTCGTTCCAGTTCGCTCAAATACTTACCCATACACTCCATGGGACTGCCATATATGCCGATCAGTTGGGGTGGTTTGGGGGGTCAATGGGGCGGCATATATTCCAATATATTCCAGTCCCATGTGTCGTGTATGGCTTAGACTCTATTGCCGCATTCCGTTCGTAGCTTTCATGGAACCCGACTAGTACTCGTAGCGAAACTGACCGGAGTTTTTTTTGGTGCACTGAGGGATCGAAGTCCAACTGTGTGTTGCCATCATGGCGCTTGCCATCTTGACAATAGCAAGGATTTAAAAACAAACACTTAGTTTCAAAACATGTTTCAAATAAACTGTTGCTAAGTCATGGCATCAGCCAAAATGAGCGACTGTTCTTACAGTTGAATGCATGGGAGAAGGAATTAGGTGAAAAGAACACCTTCCACACAAAAATAAACAGCATCTTGACGTTGAAGCAAAAGTTTTCAAAAGCCACCGCAGAATCAGAAGAATGCACCAGGACCCACTGGTAGTTCTATCAACTTTTACAGTATATATGTTGCTACCAGGACCTATAGTATCCAAATCAGTCCACGCTGGAGGTGCCATCCGAATCCGTCCACGCAGTCTTTCACATGAAGCATGGAGGTAAAACAAACGCCAGGCAAAAAGTCTACCATCCAATCACCTCCACATCTCCCACTCATATAGTCAAAATATGGGAAAAAACTATAGCAAAAGAGTCCAACATCATCATACCAGCACCTTTTTCAAGGGGTCACCAAAAGGAAGGCACCTCTATTGAAAACAACGTCCGAACACCAAGGTCGGACACCGTTGGAAGATCCGGACGTCCGCCTTGGATCGGCCCCCGGACCTCTCCACCGAGCTTCCGTCCCACTCCCGCGTGCGCGGCCGCGACGGGGCGCGGCGGGACGTGCCGTTGTCGCGGTCGCGGTGGGACCGGGACGTGCCGTTGTGCCATGCCTGGAACGGAAGGGGCGGGGCGGGTGAGGAAGCCATGATCGATTTGAGGAGTGTTGTGGTTTGTTATGTATAATTGTGATTGATTGTCATTGTATATGTGATCTTTGGCCCGGACACTGTATGGAGCTGTTCTATGGATCTGGGACAACTCGGATATACTACTCGGATCCTGTTTGTTCTTTAGGAGCTGGGAGATGGGCAGCATGTAGACCGGTATACCTGGGTCTTTCGCTGGATGGTGACCATCCAAAGAGTTCGCCTGCTAAACTCCTTAGTCAAGCAACGGCTGTTTGGCAAAGACCGTTAAATCCAGCAACGATGTGCCAGGAATTTTAGTTCGGGGTGGAGGGACCAGCGGTGCCCCGTTTGGGTGCGAACATCCACTCACGACAGGGATCCTTCCAAACCATTCCGACATGGAACTGCTGCTGGACATTCGCCATCTCATGTGCATGAGTCAAGTCACCCAAATGCTCCAAGGGCGGTCCACCTCCCAACACGGGGCGGTTTAACCATGGATGATACCAGATCGACTATGATCCAGTCATGTTCGGTTTCGCAACGCCGGGTGGTGCGGGCCACTCCTTGGAACCCAGTAGGCGCAACAGGCGGGACACCCCGCCGCCTCACCCTGCGTGTCTCTCTCCCGCGGTGCACCTGGCGCGTTGAAACGCCCGGCGGGCCAGCGACGCCATACATGACTCATCACCCATGGGACTGGCATATGTATCAACGGTTAAACATGGTTGACCTGACCTGGGGTTAATGTAGTAGGTATACCATTGCATAACCTGTAGGTATACCAACATTGGGATGGTATACCAGTATAACATTGCTTTAGTTGGGGGTCATGTATGGCCATGGTATATTATATATACCTAGACCCCGCAAAAGACGTATCTTTTTCCGGTGACTCACCCCAAATCCGTTGCAGGTTCTTCCAGGTTCCCTTGTCCCATGTCGTCTTCATGATTGAAGGTTCCAGGAAGCTGCCGCCCTTCCGCACCCTTCCGCACCCACCCCGCAGGACCCCCCCTGGCAGGACCCCCCAACAGCAGCGGACCGACGGTTCAACGTCGCCCAAGGACTCCGGGCCCCACCGGTGGAAATCCATGGGTCGAAAGCCATGCCTTGGCCCTTCAGAACCCAGGGGGCCCGAACCAAACCATGAAAAACTAAGGTGTTCACATACACTGTGTTTTTTGCTAAGGAAAACCGTGGTTTTTGATGGTTTGTGGGGCCCCTGGTAACATCTAATGACCAGAATCTACTGACTCACTTACACAACACCAGGTCCACCGAACTCTCTTTCAAGGCTAGGGCCAGGCTAAAGTTCAAACATCAAATGATCACCGTCCATCGGGATCTTCTCTAGGCAAACCTACTGCAATACCACTCTTCTTGCCGGGAAAATGCAGTGGTCCATTACATGTTGCATCTCGAGCTCTCAAACAGCAAAATGTACCATCCTTCATTTCGGAGGACCAACAACTCTGCAGAAGTTCTCTTCATGTGATTGTCTCAAGCGTTGAATTCTTTGCAACACACGTTGGGTAAAAAGGAAGGATCCCTGCCTCCTTCCCTCTCCTCCTTCCCTCTCCCACCCTCTCCCTCCATTGAATCCGGGGGACTCCACGATTCCCAGGTCTGTGCCGTGGCGTCCTTCCTCCAACTCCGCGCCGTTCCGGTCTCGCCTTAAAAAAAGCAGGTCGTGCGACGGGAGCTGGTCGTGCGTCGTCGACGAAGCAGATGGCTTTTCTTGGGCCCAAGGATGACTTAAGACTATTGTGATCACATGGGATGGAAGGTATAACCCCTGTATCTTGTAGCGTTTAAAATACCATGTATCCAAATGGTCCCTTCTTGTCACTCTCAGCCGTAGGCCGCCACGTTTGGCCGGTTCGAACCCGGCCCAGAACCCCTACCAGGTTTGCCGGCCGGTGACGTTGGCAACGCGGGGTGACTAGAAACTGGAATCTCTTGCACAAGTTGACTCTTGAAATCGCTTGATGAATAAAATCTCTCACACACGTTCACACCGGGACTGGAATAGGACTGCCACCCCAAACAGACCGTCCCGTCCAACCGTCCGAGTTTGGGTGAACCATGTGACGCGCTCTGACGCGTTGGGCCAAACCCAGGACCGTTCTCACCGTCCCCAGCGGTGAACATGTGACGCTCCATTCACCGACCAGGTCACTGGTCCAGTCCCTGTTCCGGTTTCGATGCTGCGAACCGGAACGATAGCCGTTCCGGCGATCGGCACCGTAGCCGCTGCGGTGGGTGTGAGCCTGGCGGGGTGGAGGGGTTGGCGATTGAAGATCCAGAGGCAAACCATTGGGAGATGATCACTATATCTACGTGCAAAGAAAACATGCTCCACGCAACGCAAGTTTCACGCAATTCTCTTCCTAACTATGCAACATGTATACCTTTTGGCTGGTTTTATAGATGACAATACATGAAAAGGCACACATGTTGCACACTTATGCACAGTTCGATCTAGGTATCCAGATGTAAATCCAGTGAACTTGAGCCACAGCGAGTTCACTATGGACTGCGACGATTCAGTGCGGATATTCTTCATGCACACCTCTTTGAAACTCGATTCCGACGATTCCGACTGAACCGAACTGTCCCCTCCGCCGGTTCCGCGCCTCTCCAGTCCACCAAGCTCCAGACTTCGACGTGTGGGTCGAGGCATTCGCGGGCGCCGTGCCTCACGTCGCGGCCGCCGGTGCCCGGCGGGTGCGCCAGGAGTAGTTGGGTGGTGTGGCGCCACCACGAACGGGTGTCCTTCTCTTTTTCTGGTGGAAGACGCGTGGTTTTCTTGAATTGAAAGCATGGATCGTTGTGCCGCATGACTTCACAAACAATGAACATGTTGTGCGTCTCTTTGCGGTGCCCAAGAATCAATCTTGGACTGGCATGGCGTTCGCCGGATCTGATCATATATGGTGTTGTTCAAAACGACGTGTGCAAACGAGGGAACGGAGCAATGTGCTGATGGTTTTTAGGACAATGTGCGCACAAACCGGAATCATTTCCCTATAAGAGTCCAACAATTGTTGTTTATTTATCTTGTTTTGATTGTGTTTTACGAAACAATTGCTATATGTGTTGCTGGCTTAAATCACAAAACCAGGTACTCCTTTTCAAGGTAGATGGTCGCGATTTTGTGGGTTGCGCCATCAATTTGGAGCGCACATGCAAGACACTACCGTTGAGAGCTCATGTTTTTTGTGCCATCTGTTTTTTTTTCAGACATGGAAGGGCTAAATCATCAGCCTCAAAAAACGTTGTGCCATCTACTTTTGCCTGACATGGAAGGGGTTGTGCCATCTACTTGGCTGTTATCATGCACTGGTCTGAAAACTAGGTCAATGGAGTTTGAAGTGGACATAGAAGGAAACGGAAAGGGAAAGGCAAGGGAAGGAGAGGGAAAGGAGAAGTGAAGGAGAGGAGAGGGAAAGAACAGGAAAGCAAAGGAGCGGAAAGGAAGAAGGGAAGGGCAGGTAAAGGAGAAGTGAAAAAAGGATACAAAAGGAAAGGAAAAGGACAGGAGACAGGCATGAAAAGGAGAGGGAAGGATTGGGAACAGGAAGGCGAGGGAAATTAGTTGTGCCATCTATTGGCAACAGGTTAGATGGGCGCAATGCGGTGGGTTGCGCCATCCATCCTGAATGAACGCATAAATGTACCTCTCAAATAGGTCAATGGGGACATGGAAAGGAGAAGTGGAATCAGAAGGAAAACAAAAGGAATCAACAGGAAATCAAACGGTTTCACTAGGAAATCAACAGGAATCCAAAGGAAATTAGCTGGAAATCAACGGGAAACAACAGCAAAATCAAAAGGAACCACCAGGAAACCAATTGGAATCAGCAGAAAGTAAAAAAATGAACAGTGAACGGTAAATTAATAGGCACCAACAGGAAATCCAAAGGCTAGATGGTCCCCAATGCTTTGGGTTGCGCCATCAATTCTGAGCGCACAAGCATCCTACTCCCAGTGGGAGCGCATTGTTCTTTGTGCCATCTATTTGTTACCTGACCCCATTGGAGAAAATCACTACCCACCAAAATCGTTGTGCCATCAACCCCGCCCACCTCCAATGAAGCCAAAAACGTGTCCTGACGTGCCATCTACCCACCCTCCCAGTCTTTCCGAGTTGTTCCTGACACTTTGAACATGGTATTAATGTGTGTTTCTTTAAAACGTTAACGGTCTTTGGGCTACCATAGTAGTCTTCTGTTATATAAAGACCGCCTCCGTGGTGCGATCCCATACCCTGACATTCCATGGGACTTGTGAATTTTGTGTTTTTTCTGAATAGAATTAAGGAAACATCTAGAAACATGGACCACAACACCGAAACACCGTGAAACAAAGCACTGTAACCCCGACGGATGGCGTGGCGATGGGGGCATTTTGATGATCCCAAGCGGCTTGTGGTGCTCCACGCATTCGCTTCCGCTGAGGCCGTCGTGGCATCCGCTGGCCAACCCTCCCAGCTGTCCGCGCTTGGCTGGGCGACCTCAGCAACCTGCCACGTGTCCCAAGTGTCTGCGCCGGGCTCGGCCACCTCGGCTACCTGCCACGTGTCCCAGGTGTCTGCGCTGGGCTCGGCCATTTGCCAGCCTGCGGATGAGGAGGGGCAGGATCTGAGACCCGGGCTCAGAAGCAGGAGCTAAGTCAGTGAAGTTTGGGAAGCCAAAAAGAACCTAGAAGCGCAAAAAAATCTGCGCTGGCTGCTGATGCGCTCCAATAAGTCTTCAATGTTCTTGAAACGTCCATGCAAAAAAACATGTGATATATTGCAAATCCTTGCAGTTACTTTACTTCGAGTCTCTTCGAGTGATCCCCGTCCCCGCCCTGAAAGGAGATTTGGAAGAAGGCAGGGCTCATGTCTCAACAGACTAGCCTGACAAAGCCGGACATGTGGATTGATACAGTGCTTTGACATGTTCTGACGCTTGTTCTGGCATCAAGTCTGGCTTGTGCTCTGACACCTCATCTAACATAAAGGTTGACGTCCTTGTTGGCGTGCGTGCTGACATTTATCCTGCGAATGCTGTGGAGGTTCGGGAGCGGACACTGCGATCTGGAGCTTGCTGTTGAGGTCCGGTAGTGCCGACTGCGATCTGGAGCTGGCAGTTGTCGAGGCGAGGAGGAGAGGAGAGGAGGAGTGGCGGCATCCTCTCCTAAAATCTAACAACCCTCACCTGACAGGTGGGGAACAATCACTGTCACATGCGACACGAATCTGAACAGTGAACCGATGAAGCTCGCCCGTTAGAAAACCAAGGGGGGGAAGCAAGTATATTTTGCATCTCTCACCAGTGGGTGTTGTTGCCTGGGGGGTCATCTTATTTTTGTTTCATTGCTTAAACAAACACACACATCCAACGTCCAACACCACCTAGTTCGGGTGGTCTTTTGACCTCCCGAAATCCCAATCAATTTGTCCATCCAGACCACCAGAACGGTGCCGGCGAGCCAACCTCCGCCCACGGCCAGCCGTCGCAACAGCTTCAGACCGCCAACGGCTCGGTGGCCGTGGCCTTTTTGTTGGTTTCGTTGGAAGTGAAGGAAGAGATCCAGAATGCCTCCATTCTGTGGCTAGGGCCCCATCTGATTCCTCAGGTTCCGTCAGTTTCCCTGGCACCCACCCTGGCCCAAGCGAAACGGACAGCGTCGTTGGAGCCCAAATGCGATCGCAAGGCGTTGGAGCACGAATCAGCAAATCACCATCCACCTAGACCACTCCAGGGGACGGACAGATTTGCCGATCAGTTGGGTTCCGTTGACCTGGGGGTCCATGGGTGTAAATCTGCCAGTCCCATCGAGTGTCTGTGTCATACAACCCTGGCGGCACAGGCGACACGTCCCCACACGCTCGATCCTTGGCCTATCTTCGCCCCGTCTTCGCCCCGCCTGCCGTGTCTTGCTCCGTCTGCACCTGAAAAAACGAACAGAAAACAACGCAAAACGCCCCTCATGTGACCACAGCCGATGGTCACAGTGCTACAGACTCACATACATTCATATACTATAGGAAAATGACCCCTTGGGAGATCTTGGGAGGCAAAGACATGCTCCTATCACTATATATACATGCAGTTAGATCCTAGTGGCTGAAACAAACTCTGGCAGCCAGTGATTCGCAACATGAAGTATAGAATAGAAAGTACCTTTCAGTATTCTACAGAGGTTGAAGGACCCGAACTAGCCTATCCCAGTTCGGTACCCCAGTAAGGTCCTAGTTCAGGTCACTTAACCTCTCTTGGTATTCTACAGATTCACAAGTTCATCACAGATTCACTGTTCATCGATTGCTGGCGAAGAGGTGGTCGACTCTCCCGGCGAAGACCATGGGTCTTCTCTGAAGACCCGAGGGGGTCCCAACGGGTTTCGTCCTTTAAATGGTCATGTAGACTGATGGTACTTAAAAAAAAACGAGGCCTGAAGAGGTTGTACAATCCATGTCGGATTTAATTCAAGATTCTACATCGGTATACCATACCGTTACCGAAACAAAATCCAATCCAAACAGCCTATTCCAGCACGATGGCTCTGCGTCTATGTCTGGTTCTTCCCGGGAATCCATGCCTGAGGGGTCCGAGTCTGAAGACCCAGTTGTACCATCACTCACCAACCCTCGGTGAACTCAGCGGTCAGCGGTCTTCGAATGCCTTGCTCGACTCGTATGGCTTGGAATCAGCATGTTAGGGTTCCCCTTAACGGTATAGAGTTGTACAGGTCAGGGTTCCGGGTTCCTCATGAACACCTTGAGGAGTTCAGGACTCGTCTACGAGTCTACGCAGCTACTTGTGGGACCTTTAGGGATACGTATTCCAACAGGACTGGCTGGAACAAGCTGACCATAGCTGACCCCTGCCCTATAGATTACCTAGATGATGCTCATCGCTCAAACCACGCAGCTGCTGAAAGACACTCCGGTGCCGCCCCAGGCGCTCCAGGCAGGGGCTTGTAGTCCGTACGCGGAGGAAAGTGGGGCTTCACCCACGTGCCAACCTGGGATTTGGCTGTGCAGGGGGATCCGGGAGGAGGCCGTGTCAAACACAAAAAACACCTACCTACCCAACAAAGGTTGAAGAACCCGAACGTTCGACTATCCCAGTTCGGTACCCCAGGTAAGGTCCTATTGATGGTCACTGTCCACCTCTCTTGGACCCCACTGAAAACTCCACATGGACCCTAGCTATACACGTCGTTTTGGTATGACAAACAGTCGGACTGGTGCCTGCATGTCAGGGTCCGTGTGACTTTTTGGGAGTCTATTCCATCATCTTCACCATGCAACCGGGATTCACCGAAAGAAAAACCGGGAACATCCACCACAACCCGCCCGGACTCGCCCCACCCCCGGCCCACCCCACCATACGGTCGCGTCAATTGACCCGCGGCACGCGATCGATTCCGTGGTGAAAAGCGATGCGAAGCTCGCATGAAGTCCGCGCTGAATCATGAGGGGGTGTTTTGTATTTAAAAGGGAGGCCTCCCCACTAGAAAACCGCTGGGGCCATCAAAAAGCAAGTGGGACGTGCCCCTATTACAATCCGCCGGCCCTGGGGCACGGCGTGTTTTGGGTAGTTGGTTTTTTGTTCTTTGTTAAGCTATGTCTTGTCTGTTTTAGTGCTCCCCCGGGCGGATTTTTGATCGGTCTAACCTGACCCCCCCCCCCCCCCCCCCCCCCCCCCCTCCCCCACCCCTCCCCTCCTTCCCTCCCCCATGGTGCTGGTCGGTGTTTGCGCTGTCTCTTGTTTGTACTTTTTGGTTTCCATGTCATATGTTGCTTTGTCTTTCTTTTGTGAGGACTTGAGAGAGGAGGGGGGTGAACGAAAGGTAGCAGGGAATCAGGCGTAATCCGGGAGGAGGTGAGAGGCCCCCCACTTGTTTGAAGAGAAGTGAGTGAGCGTGATGAAAGAAAAACTAATGCACAAACGCTTGACAAAACCTCCAGAAGCTGTAGCGGTCTAGCGGTTTCAATACAGGTTGACGTGCCTTCAAAAGGAGTCACATATTTCTCAAATGCAACTTCGGATTTACATAGTGACGTGCGGCGACCCTTTAAATTGCGTGGCCGCAGGCCATGCTTGCAAACAGGACGTGCTCAAAAACACTGGTATTTACGAGGTTTCGTTGCCGTCGATCCACAGCCGCGGCAAGGTCTAAGGCCACGCTTGAAGACAGGAGGAGCTGAAAACACTGGTATTTACGGTATTTTGTAGCCGTCGATCCAAAGGCGCACCACGGTTGAGCGCTGGAAAAGCGCAGAAAACCGTGTAAATACCAGCGTTTTCTGCCGGGAAGGTGCACAAAACCCTGTAAATACCATAGTTTTGTGCAATTTTGAAGCCTCCAAAAGCCTCAAAAACCCTTTCTGAAAAAATCTTTCCTGGTTTTTGGTCTTTTTTCGGTCATTTTTCTAACCGAGGCGCATCAAAAACCATCGGTTTTTGCGGTGTTTTTTGCCGGACAGCCACAAAAAACGCTGTAAAATCCATGATTTTTGGTCACTGCTGAGGACTGGAAGAGCTGAAAACACTGATATTTACAGTGTTTTCGAACGGTTGACCCCGAGGCGCGCTAGGGTGGAGTTGAAAGGGGGGGGGGGGGGGCCCCCCCCCCCGGGCAGCAAACGAAGATGTGGGGGACCATTTCTCCGAGAGATAGGCTGCAGCTCTGGGTTAATACATTTTTGCTAAAGCAAAAGGAAAACTCAGGTAGCGTAACCGCTACCTTTCGTGACATGCCTTTCTGAGAGCCTAGGGCTTCGCGCCTTCACTGTGCGAAAAGGAGCCAATTGTGGAAGTGGGCACTTGAAAGAATCGAAGATTGAAAGAAACCCTAGCTTTGCCGTGCTGTTGCTTTACTTGGTTTGGAGCAACAATGCAGCTTCATCATCCACGTCGAAGATCGAAAGAACCCCGCGCTCCCCCTCCCTTAGCTTTGCCGTGCAGTCATTTTCCTAGACAGTGACTCCAGTGAGCATATCGCTTTTTCTGTCCTGACTGCACACCCCCTGCTGTCTTTTGTCTCTCCCAAGCCCAGAGTCCGGGCGTTGTCCTGGCCCAAGCCGGTCCGTGAGGCGTACACCCCACAGCCCCTTCGTTCCGACTTTCTCCCTTGACACAACCTCGTACGCAGGGCGCTGCCTGGCCACACATTCCGCTTTAAGCTTTACAACCTCTACTCTACGATCCCGAGCTTCGCAAATCACCCTTGCATCCGAAATCTCCCTTGTGTGTAGAAGATCTTACAACATGTATATGTCTGCATGCCTCCTGACAAAATTACTGTGAGTGGAACGGCTGAGGGTCGGAGCAATGTCGGTCTTGTCCCATTCAAAGACCACCCTGCCGTGGCTGGGCTGCACTTACTTCTAGCCGTTGCACTACGCTGCTAATTTTTTTCAACCATCTACACCCCCATCCAGCGCATTTTGCACGCTCTGCCCGCCCCCCCGGTGTACACCCCAGAGAGTCAGCCGTCGCTGGCTGCTGCTCAGCTCCCACAACCAGAGACACCTATGTCAAAGGGCGTGCAAAAGGCAATTCTGCCTTGGCAACGTAGCCCTTCGTGACCATCTTCACCTTCCCCTCCTGCATGTATTTCTTGCTCCGGTACGGCCGCATGACACCAACAGCCAATCAAAGCACATACCGCCAAACAGATCCACGCCAAGGCATACACCCTCGAACATACCACTTCTCGCAGGGATGCAGCGGCTCCATTCCAAAGCATACAAAGGCACTACATCAAGACCTTGCATGCCCATCAATTTCTCCTTCCCCTGACCTGTGTGTCTGTTGCCAACTTCTGCCTGAGATACTCTCTGCAAACAACCTCTGGACATATACAAAGCATTTAACCTAACTGCCATTGTTCAGAGCCATGCTTGAGCTGCTTTCCTGTCTGCTCAGCTTAAACCATGACAACGTGCGATCACAGCCTCAGCAATCCAAGCGCTGCCCCGCCTCCCCACCACAATGCTTCCAGATGAGCCAAGCCGGGGCTCCTGCACGTAGAGATTTCCCTACACACCACTGCGTGTCATGGAGATTCTGATTAGCTCCAGGTGCAACGCAATCATGCTATTTCAACACCCATCTAACCCCTCCTCGTCTACGACAATTTCCCACACAGTGCAGTCTCCTCCTCTGAGGCCACATCCCATCGCTGCAATACACTCACACCCCCATGGTGCTGGTCGGTGTTTGCGCTGTCTCTTGTTTGTACTTTTTGGTTTCTATGTCATACGTTGCTTTGTCTGTCTTTTGTGAGGACATGCCTTTCCGAGAGCCTCGGGCTTCGCGGCTTCACTCTGAGAAAATGGCTTCCATCAAGGAGTCAATTGTGGAAGTGGGCACTTGGGAGAATCGAAGATTGAAAGAAGCCCCCTAGCTTTGCCGTGCAGTGTAAACAAGTAGTAAGTAGAAAGTTTGAAGTTGGAAGTAGAAAAGTAGGGAGCAGGGAGTAGTAAGTAGTAGGTAGCATGCCATGTGTACAGCACAGAGCAGACCTTTTACCTACTGCTGTGTCAGCCTTGCACCCTTATCTGCATAAATGTCACTGCTTCTCCAGATTGGCTGCATGTGACCACATCCAGTTTGACTTCTACTCTTGCAGTCACCCCTTCTCGGCCAACGTCCCACCGCTGCACCGCACTCACACCCACTAAGTTGGCTTTCTCGCTGCGGCCAAAAGGGCCGGCGGAACAATCCGCAGGTGTAAATACAAACTCAATCAAGCCCATGTGTCGTGGGGAAACCAATCCCCCCAAAAAAACGGTTAACTTATAACAGCTTCTCCACTTGTCCTGGGTATTCGATTTGTTGTCTAGGAACTGGGAACCAAATGCTCTTCCCCCTGCCAGGGCACCTGGTTCATGGTTCTACCCGTAAAAAATCAAACAAAATCCAAACAAATGGGACGAATCCGGCAGGGGGCACATCGGTAACCTCCTTTCTTCGGCTCTTTGGGAACCTCCAGACTCTCCGTCCGCGCCACGGATGGCAAGGCCACGGACGGCCCAACCAAAGGCGGCCGGTTCGCGTGGGGCGTCCTGGTCGAGGGTTGGCGTCCGGAATGGGCCAAACTTAGATGAGCCGGGTGTTTGCTAAGTAGTTACAGAGGTTATGTTA